TCTCTCTCTCTCTCTCTCTCTCTCTCTCTCTCTCTCTCTCTCTCTCTCTCTCTCTCTCTCTCTCTCTCTCTCCCTCTCTCTCTTTCTCACTCTCTCTGACTCTCTCTGACTCTCTCTCTCTCTCTCTCTCTCTCTCTCTCTCTCTCTCTCTCTCTCTCTCTCTCTCACTCTCTCTCTCTCTCTCTCTCTCTCTCTCTCTCTCTCTCTCTCTCTCTCCCTCTCTCTTTGTCACTCACTCTCTCTCTCTCTCTCTCTCTCTCTCTCTCTCTCTCTCTCTCTCTCTCTCTCTCTCTCTCTCTCTCTCTCTCTTTCTTTTGAACTTCTTTCCCCTTCCTCCCTCATTCGCTGTCTGTCTGTCTGTCTCTTTCTCCCCCCGTCCTGACTCTCGCTCTCTCTCTTTCTCTCTCTCTCTCTTTCTTACTCTCTCTGACTCTCTCTGACTCTCTCTCTCTCTCTTTCTCTCTCTATCTATTTCTCTATCTCTCTCTCTCTCTCTCTGCTTCTCTCCTTTCTTCCCTTCCTCATCCCTGCCTCCTCCATTTCTCCCCAACCTATCTCCCTTCTCCCTCCTCATCTCTTCTCCTCCCTTTTTCACTCTAATCACTTCTCTCTCTTTCTATTCTCTCTCTCATCTTCCCTTCTGTCTCCCTCTCCCACGCCATTCGCAGAGGGGAAATCTCCCTTCCTTCGGCGCCTGTGTCGTTAATCTCTTCAACAAAACATCTCTATGTTTTCCCCTCTCTCGTCTTTCCCTTGCTTTGTCAACTTCGTTCTTCTTTTGTGTGTCGTTCGTTCTCACTCCGGTTCTTTTTTCTCTCTGTCTGTCTTTCTGTCTGCCTGTTTGCGTCTTTCATTTTCTTTCGCGTTCTCGCTTTTTTTTTGTTTCTCTGTTTGTCCTTCTTACTTTTCTTCATTTCATTCTTCTTTTCTTCTTCCTCTTCTTCTTCTCCTTCTTCCCTTTCTTCATTTCATTCTTCTTCTCCTCCTCCTCCTCCTCCTCCTCCTTCTTCTTCTTCTTCTTCTTCTGCAGTCTCTTCATGCACCTATCCGTTTTTCTGCTTTACTGTTCCTCTCCCTTTTCCCCTAATTTGTCTATCACAACATCTACTATTAATGAATATCTTGCCTCTTCCCTCATCAACGACATTACATCCTCCGCTGCATCTCAATCGTTTCCCCTCACTTCTCTTCCCAGAGTCTTTTAATTTCCCCTCTTCTTGCCTCTCCTCTTTCGTGCCCCGCCCCCCCCCCCATACCCTTGCCATTCACGTTCTACTGTATCGCTGTGTCTTTACTCTCCTCTTCCCTCGATTTCCCCTCATATTTCGCATAATCTACACGGTATTCTACCTTTTCGCTTTCCCCTCTTTCTTTGCTCGACGTAACTTCTCTCCTCTCTTCCTCCTTTTGCCCCTTTGCTCTTCTTACTCCTATTCCCGTCTTTCTTCTTCTTCTCCTCTCCCCTCACTCCCTTGCTTCATCACTCCCCTCACTGTCTACCGCAAATATTGTTACCTTTGCTGCACTTCACACCTCTTCGCCTTTCTGTTTCTGTTCTTTATTCTATTCTCCTTCTTCGTCTTCTTCTTTTTCTTCTTCCTTCTCCTCCTCCATCTCTTCTTCCGTTTCTCTTCTTTTCTTCTCCTCCTCCACCTCTTCTTCCACTTCTCTTCTCCTTCCTCCTCTTTTATCCTCCTTCTACTCCTCCTCACTTCACTCCTTTTTTCCCACGCTCACTTGTCACACAACCCTCTCCATCAGCCGCTACATAGGCCACGCCCCTCCCTCTCCATCAACCACGCCTACCATACTGCCCCCCCTGACCATATCAACCCTTAATCCTCCTTCCTATAGTCCTGTAATCCCTCCTATCCCCCTCCCCCCCTTCGCCACCCCCTCTCCTCTCACCTACCACTCCCCACCTTTCCTCTCCCCAACACCTAACGCAAACTATCTCTACCTTTTTTTTGTTTTGCTCTCTCTCCTTGTTCTCCTCTTCCTCCTTCTCCTCTAGTATCTTCCTTCCCTCTCCTCTTTTTCTATTCCTTGGCCCTGTTTGTTTCTCGCCTCTCCAGCACCCTTAGCTATCCTCCTCTCTCCGACTTCCTCTCTCACCCACACGCTAATACTTTACTCTCTCTCTCTCTCTCTCTCTCTCTCTCTCTCTCTCTCTGTCTCTCTCTCTGTCTGTCTCTCTCTCTCTCTCTCTCTCTCCCTCCCTCTCTTTATCTCTCTCTCTCACTCTCTCTGTCTCTGTCTCTATCTCTGTCTCTGTCTCTATCTCTGTCTCCGTCTCTCCCTCTCTCTCTCTCTCTCTCTCTTCCTCCCTCCCTCCTTCTCTCTCTCTCTCTCTCTCTCTCTCTCTCTCTCTCTCTCTCTCTCTCTCTCTCTCTCTCTCTCTCTCCCTTGCTCCCTTGCTCCCTCCCTCCCTCTCTCCCCCCCTCCCCCTCCCCTCTCTCTCTCTCCCTCCCAATCATTCCCCATAACAGCTCATAACACT